TAAAATTGGAATGATTATTTGTATAGGCATAATCCATTACTTATGAATGAGGCTGGTATTAGTTTAATGACCACATCCATTGTAAATGTTAACAATTACATATTATACAACATTTCTATAACACAAATTACATATGTATATAACATTAAGGCATAAATATTCTGACGATGGGAAGTTGAAATAACAATAATAATAATTAGAAGAAGAAGAAGAAGAAAACCAAACATGCAGAATGAGATTACGATTGAAATTCGTAGAATTTCTCCTAAATGGTTAGCTAAAATACTCATTGGATTTTATATGATAATGCCATCTATATTTGAACGTGTATCACCTATATTATTAGGTACATTTGTATATGGAAATTTTGATAATATAGTGTCATTATTAGTTGATCATATACTGTAAGTCAAAAAAATTTATTATTTATCGTTTATAATAACTTGTTTATTTATACATTTTTGAAATGGTACCATATTTGTAGTTTACATTGTAAACTGACTTGGTAACTATGAAAAACTTGTAAGAAGTTAACAGTTGTTCCGTTAAAGTATAAAACTCTACACTACTGCTCACTAATAGTGTTAATGAAGACTGTGAAGCTTCGTGACAAGCGTGTTCATAAACAAACAGTTTGGTATTCAGTATTTTACATATAAATAGGGTATATGTACTTGGATAATACTAGGAGTTTAAACCACCGATGTTGGCTCAGTAGTATGAAGGTAATATACTTTCCATGGAACATAAAAATCATCAGCGTTAAGAAAGGTTGAAATCGTCTATATACAATGTTGGGTAGTTGCGAATTCAAACAAAAAACAGATGCTCAACGCTTGCTGTTTTCCAGAGATTACCTTAATAAAGTTATTTTGTAATTACGTAATTAGTAATGAAAATTTCTTTGATATTGTTCAGAATGTTAACAAGAATGAACTAAAAATATGATCTAATGCAAATTACTAGTTAATGGCTTAACCTAAACATAATGAACGTTTTTCCGACTTTATATTAAATTAAGACAATAGAATTACAATTTCAGTATTATTGATTTTCATCTTGTCAATGATCAGTACTTCTGAATATAATTGATTAAACAGAAAGAGAACTTTTAATTTAATACCCATTACTTAAAACATTAATGTATTATATAACCTTGTAATTAATAATAACTTAAATTTTAAATCGTTTGTAGAGGGGTTTATATTTCATCTACTCTTCCAGGTTTAAATCTAATCAACCAGTTTATTCAACCAAATGATCAGTTACATTCACTTTTAAACTAATAGTGTGACTCAATGCACAGTATGCTAAACTCTACTGAATTTATGAGACAGAGTAAAACTGATACATTATTTATAGCATCAGTAAAACCTCGTGTTTATGCCATATACTTATATATATTGATTGGCGGAACAGGTATAAATAATGGTTTTAAATAATCTCTTAACAGCAGTGAACAGAGAAGTAGTAAGCTTTTATAGTAAGTCACGAAATTGTAAGTTTCTGTAGATTGTAACAACAAAGGGGGTAATAGTCTCACCTAGAACATCAGATCCTACAAAATCGTGAGTACGTCTCGCTGAAGATTTTCAGGTAGCAGGGTTTCCTATTAAATATCTCCATCACCTAAAATCTGAATGTGATGCTGGCGATATTGAGTTACTTAGAATAGTTGCTAAATTGTAGTTCAAATGATGGAATTCTATCAAGGACAATAACTAGGCAAATATGAAATAACTTGGTACTCAAGGATCAATCAGTGTAATAATGAGGCATTCTTTGAAATTCATGAAGAAGGGTAATTCAGGCTATATCTATTCTTTTCTCCTGATTTGAATTTACTTAGCTTTTAAGAGTGTTATTATACTATCAGTTATTTTGTCTTCGGTGATATTTAACTGAAGTTTTATGAAGATTCATTGAACCTCTCTTCTGTTGTGAACTCATAAGCTTATTACTAGACTATGGATTCTTAGTAAGTGAATATGGTATTAGAGTAAAAGTCATTTGTAAATATTCACTTCTTTAATCACTGAAGAAATCAACTTTGGATTCCTGTTCAAAAATGGACCTTTATGAAGCTAGCTGACTACAGTGTCACTCTTCACCCAGTAAATGATCTATAAGACGTTTCAATTTCCTTTGATAAAACCACTGGTTATTGTCTATTTCACTGTATTTATATTTATGAACACCTGATTTATAACATACTAACTGTCTACTAACAGGGTCTTCATTATGGCTGTAGGGTGCAGAGAGCAAACTAAGCAACTTAACTAAACAGTCGTTTAGAAATATTTTTTGACTGGTATGCAGTCAAATTTATCACCCTAGTTATCTTTAATATTTCTGGCAACAGAATATCTTGAAAAGCTTCACAACTGAAAAGTATGCTTCGTGAACAGCCAGCAATCAATAATTTTCATCCGATACACAGTTGACAGATGTTTATTCATTGAAATATTAGTGATAATTAGTTAGTATGCAAAGAGATTATAATGAATGTTATTTTTTAAATGATGACGTACAATCACAGACCATCAATGGCTAAAGACAGATGGAATATTGTAGGATCATGAATGCTCATTGTTGATGAATCCCATACTAGGGATGAAACTACCATTCAGTTATCTATTTGGAAGTGAGTCTGTGATATAAACTACAAAGTTTAACAACAAATCCCCCAACAGTATTATTGAATAGTTTCATTTAGCTTATTATGGCAAGTTATGTTTTAGACGAATGTCAATAACTGGATAGAAATGTTATATGAATTGTAGATACTATAAGAAGTAAAGTTTTATGGCAAACCGTTTGAAGGAAATTAACAGGAAATTATGGATTACGGTTATTTTGATTGTTTAGTGATATTTATTAGTATTATGTATCACTTTGTAATTTTTTGTAAGAATACACCTTGGTGAATGATAAACTATTTGAAGCATGTTATTTATATCTTTAAATATTGTGGTCTATAACATTCCTATTATTTATTATTGTAATTGTAGTTACTCATAGCATAAAGGTGTAAATTCGATATATTCAAACAGTAGTAGAATTTGTTAGAAAAGATTTATAATCAGAGAGAGGTGTATTGAGGAGATTTTAGTAATTTAATAGTTGAATTCATGAATTTATTGAAGCTAGACCATCATGGGAAACCTGGAAGCACCCAACGGCCATTTTGTCCTAGCATGGGGCTCCTTAGCAGTGCACATCCACGATCCCACTCCACGAGATTTGAACCCAGGACCTATAGGTCTCGTGCGTGAACATCTAACCTCTGAACCATCATGTGCTCACTAGTGACTGTCTCTAAGAGGTAGTTCCTGGAGTTCTAGTGAGAATCAGTGAGCAATGAAGTCCAACTGGGTCTGTTGTCAGACAATAACTCACTTAAGACAATGGTGGAAGGTGACACGAGACCGATAGGTCCTGGGTTTGAATCTCGTTGAGCAGGATCGTGAATGCGCACTGCTGAAGAGTCCTATGCTAAGACGAAATGGTCGTACAATCCTTACAGGTTTTCCATAGTGGTCTGCTATTAATTAACTCATGAACTTAACTATTAAAATAGAGAATACTATATTTAGAGACAGAAAAACTGTGATGATAAACTTCGAAAATCATCATCTTTTAAGTAGAATGTTGCATGAAAAGTTTGTCACTTATACTGCGACTATCAATAAATGTTACAATTTCATATTATTCGACAATTGGAAAGTCAAGTTTATGAAATTCTGAAGTTAGAAGAAATATTTATATAAATTCTTTGATAGATTGCCTGGTAACATGGAACAGCTATGGAAGAAAACTTATATATTTATTAGGTTTCAATTTAACAGTAAATTGTAGATCCTTCTAGGTTAGAAATCAGTCGAATAATTGGTGAATATGTGACATAATTGAAAAGAACTGTTATCATGTTAGGTGGAAATGTTTCATAAATAAAATAAATTATTTCAAGTAACTAATATCACGAAGTGATCATTTGAAGATTAGAAACCTTGAATGGTTATTTCATCCTATACGAGAACTCCTAATGCTTTCTAGCTCTCATTAGCTATTTAAATAAGAACAGTTCGCGAAGTTAAATATAAAATTCAACATTCTCCGAAGAACTCTCTATTGTAGACAGGAATGGGGCATTTTTGCATACAAGAATGATAATTAGTTCAAAACATTAGACTTTGAAGGGATTTGAATGAACGGAAAATGTAATTGAGCTGTAAGATTTGAGTTTTTTTTTATCATACAAACTATTCAGACTGAATAGTTGAATAGATACATTCACGTTCCCGTGATATTGTATTCATTATGGGTAGATACATTTCGTTGTGTCACAATTTTGTTTTGATAAGTCAATATTTTTTTTCCTGTCCATTCTTCCTTATTTCCATCTTGTCTGTTGGTACTATCAAGTTTTCAGGATAAATTAAACTATTTAACGCTATTTTTAAGAAACATGAGGAATGTGTTTGTTTAATTGAGTGTACAGGTGCTTAAAACGTGTAGCTTATAGAAACAGTAAAAGTTTAAACATTATTCTATCCATTTATAAGCTTTCAGTAGGACGGTCACTCTCAGGTAGATCATACACTTAAAAACCGATTAAATATTTAGTCAAGTTATCATCATTATTATGAATACTTATTGAATAAAAAAATTTTAAAAAAAATTTTATGGCTCGATATGAAATCATACATAAACTGTATACATTGATGTCACCTATAAATTTGTATCCATGACTTTACGCAAAAAGTATCTGTTCAGATGTATGTAATAAAGTTAGACAATACATTTTAACACAAATTCATTATGTCACATACAATACATATTCAATAGTTTTGTTTAAATTAATAAACTGAACAACAATAATGATAATAATGGTCTTATTCATTGTCAAGTGGCATATATTGAACATTTGAATACGTTTATCATATATAAATATAATTTAAAAGTACAGACTTATATTAATAATTAACATTCATAGTTTCATTAGTGAAGCTCACAAAATGAAAGTTTAACATGTGGATAAATACACGTAAATTCAGTCCCACAGTTACAAAGTGAGTGTGTTTAAGGTTAATTTTAACAAAATTCGAAATAAAACATTGTTTTCTTTGTTATACATGGGAATATAGATTTTTCTCTTATTTCAATAAAAATAAAATCATATATGAATGATTAATACTCATTGTGGGAATTATCAGTGTAATTGATTACTATCAGAAGGGGGGGTTTTGTAGATATTTTAGTAATTTATTAGTTGAATTCATGAGTCAATTAAAGCTAGAACACCAAGAAAAACTTGGAAGTATTGAACGGCCATTTTGTCCTAGTATAGTACTTCTCATCAGTGTGCATCCACAAAACCCCCTTCTGATAATAATCATCATGTGCTTATTAGTGACTGTCTCTAAGAGGTATTTCCTGAAGTTGCTAGTCAGAAGTTGTGATCAGTGGAGTTCAACCGGGTCTGTTGTGAGATAGTAACTCACTGAACACAATGGTGGACGGTGGCTCAATTTCATGGAATAATTGAAGTTAGACATTAACACCATTGGATGTCAGTTCAGTGGTCTACAGGTTAAGCATTCTCGCGCGAGGCCGATAGGCACTGAGTTCGAATCCCGCGAGCGAAATCGTGGATGCGCACTGCTGAGAAATTCGATACTGGGACGAAAAAGCCGTTCCGTTGTTCCAGGTTTTCCATGGTGGTCTAGCTTTAATTGTTTATTACTGAGAGATAACAAATAATTACTCACTTTAATTTATATCAGTCGTTTACCTAATTCATGATTGTAATGGGAATGATGTTTTTCAATCAAATCTTTATGTAGTTGGGATTTTAAGTTGGACAGTATGCTTGTTAAAGGAGACATTTATTAGATTGTATAATATTGCAAATAAAACTTTCAGACATTTGTCTATCAATCTACGTATTTTACTGAAATAACTACAGTATGAATAACGTTTAAGCGACAGACGTCAATGGATCACTTTACAGCTTATTTACAATGTTATTTTACATATACAATATTTTACAAGACGAAGACATACATTCAAAAAGTGTTTACATCATTAACTTCGAATTTTTTTGTTTAGTTAAAGATTGTCTAATTGATATGACTGTATCTTGTTTGCCAATAAGTCTTCCTATTCTTTGCTCAATTCAGTGTTGTGCTTGTTTACTTAACACAAAACAGTTATTAAATACACATGTATGATCATTAATTCTTAAACTGATGCTCGTGCGTGATGTAAACTAATTTCAAGTAATGAATTACTACTATATCCAAATATGTGTATTATTGATATACAGTTACTTGATTGATTTAATGTTGTCAAAAACATACTTATTAATAATAATAGTAACTACATAAGTTTCTTTTGTGATCATCACACCGATCAACAATTAACCATCACTAACAAAAAGGAGTCGCATATTTGTAGCTTACATTATGGATTAATTTTTATTTAGACAATCAGTGAAAACCAGAAACGATTGGACAGGCAAAACCCTTAACACTAGACTTGAAGGTCTTTAGTTCAATCTTTGTTGGGTCATAAATATGGGTTTCAAAGAAGTCCCATATTTAAGAGAAACAGAAATCTTGTGATTCTCGGTTTTCAATGACTACCTAACTCAAAGGCATTAATCAAAACAAAATTGACACCTTTCAAAGTCTTGAAGTACACATTGATGCTAAATGGATTTGAAGCCAAGAGCTTGACGTTTCGTGGTGAACAGAGTTATTTCGGGCTACGGATTTGGGTGTTGTAAAGTTCATATTTTAAACTTCAGTCATTTCAAGATTTATTAAGTTTCTAAACCAATATCGATGGTATGCTCTAACTTCGGTTAGTAAGATAAGTTGTTGCTTCGTATTGGTACTTTGAAAATCCATGAATATTACACACTTTCTCCCAATAAAAAGTAACAATTATTTAAGGAGAAAGAGCAAAAAAGAAATTTATTTCCTTGCACCTAACCACTCTTCTTACATTTACTTGGAATTATTTTACTTGAATCTTCCCATTGTTATTTAGGATTGCAATTGATCAGTCTCCTATTGGCATATGTGCATCCTGTGCGTATTGGCTCGATATTGCCTTAATTCACAAGCTTTTTAAGCAAAGATGGATAGTGGCTAGCAGTAGAATCCAGGACGCGCGTTTAGTCCTACTTTGGACTCGTCAGCTGGATATACCTTCATCTTAGAGTTGATGTTCACTTTGGGACTTGAATCCAGTACTGTTTGCTTCAAATGTCATCGCGTTGTCCATTTAGCACATATGCCAGTAAGTAACTGATCAATTGCAGTCTCAAATATCAATGGGAAGATACAAGTAAAACAACACCAAGTGAATTTAAACTTCACCCCATTGCACAAGCAGGTGGCTTTCAGGACTCAGTAGCTAAGTGGATAACGCGAAGGCGTTTGAAACGAACGGCACTGGGTTCGAGTCTCGGAGTGAACATCAACTCTAGGATGCAGGTACATCCAAATAACGAGTCCCAGATAAAACGAAAAGCGCTTCCTGGATTCCACTGCACTCTCCATACTGTAATTACTTCTGTAAACGCTAATCGATTACCATGCAGTTGATAAAGAATTGCAAATTCTCACTTTTAATACTACTAAATTCTGCTAAATAAATTACATACACAGTTTAAAGGTTTTGCACTATTGTCATTCAGTTTAATTAGATATAAAAATATTACTACGTAGATTTTCAATTTCAATTTCTGATATAGATAGCCAATCAAAAGTAGTCTAATAAAAAGGTCGATTGATGGCTATCAGAAGTGATTTAAAGGTCAAGTACATTTCATTGTGGTCAATTTCCTAAGAATAGAGTTGTATATGTGAATGAGCATTTATACATTTCACTCGGTAGTCCAATATACCCTCTCACCCAACCTTGTATTCTCGTTCAAGTAGTCAGTTGAGGGGGGGGGTTTCAGGCACCTCACGCCACAACAATTTCAACCTAGCATATTTTTTTAAAACACTATGCCATACTGAATTCACATATTTTAGACAAGTTAAAACAACTTAATATAAATCAAATGAATTTCAAGTGGTTTATAAATAAATATAATCTATTAGTCCTTGTTCGTAGATCTCCATAAGGTAGTAGATATTGTCCATTGTGATAATCTTATGACAAGGTTTGAAGTTGGAAACAGTAATAAACAAGCATTCAATAACACTAAATTCTTTATCTTCATAAAATTATGCAGCTGTATGAAAAATATAAAACATTTGGTATATGAATTAATCACAATATATGTGATATTTATCGATGATGTATACTACCATTTTAAGTTCACCTTTACGCTCATTACAGGTAACGACTGAGTATATCAGATCCCTGATAATTCAACCATATATACATTTATAATCTGGAGTTATCAAGTTGATATCTGACATACTTGTAAATCGAAAGAATCTTCGAAATGACGACATTTCTTATCAGTGTTCTTCCATGAAGTTAACTTCACTATAAAATCTAAAGTGTGCTCTTCTTCATTGAGCAGGATTTAGCCTAACGGATACAAAACCTAACATCTATCTTTCATCCAGTGAAAATATTGAAGATAAACGTGGATCTACGACGCAAACAAGATGGATTCACTCTCATAGTCCTAATTTTTCTGAACACATATCCATAAAGGTGTCAAAATCTGGGAAATTATTATGTTTAACACTTCACAAATGAACAAAAATGAATCTAGAATCTATATCTATAGAACATCTGTGGGAAGAAAGCTTGAAATCTGTTCTGAAATGTTACTACGAAAACGTCTGCATCATAACTCTTGTGGTATATTACTTCCTGTAGACACAACAACACAAAACCCAAACAAATCACTAGAGTTATCGAATAAAAATTAAATTAAACCTGCTGTTAGATATACCGAGATATAAGAGATCTATTACTGGAAATAAGCTAAAGAAAAATTCCATATATTTGTTTATGAAGATAACTGGTGTGTGGTGATCTGTAGCTCAGGTGGATGAAGTCTATCTGAATTTTGTGTTGATGATGTCGTTCAGAAGAACGATGAAAGCTCCACGACCAAACCATTCAGCTCAGAGAATAAAACTCCATCAAAACAATTGATGTGTCTCTTTTCTGGGAATAATCTCATGATAAATATTTATAACTCAAAAATCACTTCAGATATTACAAGTTCTCTCACTGTATGAATGACTTTTTCAGAGATAAACAACCGGTCTACGTTCTAGTCACAGACAATAAAACTCAAACTAATTTACTTTATATGTCTACTTTGTGTGATTTAACATTACATTTAAATAAGAATTACTTAGCTGATAACGCTTGATTCATACTGCTATTATCATGAATCACTGGGTCATCTCTCACACATGTCCAAAATCACATTATCAGTTTATTATTATAAGAGTTGTTAAGCCAAATAAAATTTATAATCAGAAGGGGTTTTGTGGAGATTTTAGTGATTTCAATAGTTGAAATCATGAGCCAATTGAAGCTAGACTACCATGAAAAACCTGGAAGCACTGAACGACCGTTTCGTCCTAGTATGGGACTCCTCAGCGATGCGACCTCGCGAGATTCGAACCTAGAAGTTAGACATTAACATCGTTGGATGTCAATTCAGTGGTCTAATGGTTAAGCGCTCGCGCGCGAGGTCGATGTGTCCTAGGTTTGAATCTCGCGAAGCGGGATTGTGGATGCACACAAGGATGGAACGGCTGTACAATGCTTCCTGGTTTTCCACGGTGATCTAGATTCAACTGACTCATAATTTCAACTATTGAAAGATTTATAACTTTATTATTTTTCAGAATACTAATATTGAAATAATGGTGGATTTATGTGTATGTCTTTTCTCATCAGTGATCTACTCACACAAGTTATATAATCTCATTTAGATGAGGATTTTCGGTTCACTAAGCACAATAAGACATTTTGACGAGATACAACATTTCGTTACAAGAGCCTTGAATTCCCTAATTAAAAAATATTATCTATTGAATGGCGTAAATATCTCAGCAAAATATAACTTTTGAATTGGCTTACATAAAGTCTCGTTTCATAATCTTCTATTTAAAACATCTCTATGAACGTCTTCTATAGTACTTGCCTAATTATAAGCTTAGTTACAATAATTTGACGGTCCTTGTAAAATGGTATGAAATCTGTCATAATGTGCAAATTAAGTGTTGACATTATTTATTTGTCTTTTCATTTTATGTTGCTTTTCATAATTATCATTATCAACTGAAAATGGCCTATATCCAAATCTACACTAGTTAGTTACAATATATTATTTATACAGTAGTATAACCCTTTGCAATCAGGACAAAATTAAAAGTGTTTATTATTCAAATAACTAGTGATTTAAATTAGTTATAACTGGTGAAAACCTTAGATTATTGTATAGGTGTTTTGTTCTTGTCTGTAACTTATCAGCAACATAAAATAGCTAATCTTTGCTGTCTGAATTTTGATAGCTTTCAAGTGCTGAATTCACTTCATTGAATAAGTTTTATCTTTTTTAAAGCCTTTTGATTTTTGCCATAGAATTTCACAGTAACACTAATATATATGTGTATATTTATCACTTTTCTTTCAGTCGGCCAAGTGTGGCACTCGCGGACTATGATATTTCGGATAGAAGGTAAACCTTTTTATTGTTGAGTTTTAACTCAACTACGATTAGTTAGATATAAGCGATCATAGTTATTTTACTAATACTCGTTTATTTAATACCATTCAGTTTAAAGTTGAATATTCAACTATCATCATTTTATTGTATGAATTCAGAGAAAAAGAAAGTTCTAAAAGCCTTCGAAACAACATATGTTCAATGAAACGCATTAAATTTGATTAAGAAAAGATACTTTTACTCATCAGTTTATTGATTATTGGGGATTAATAGTTATAGTGAAATTAGAAAAAGACTTATTTTATGGCATAAATCAAGACATTAAAAATAGATATATGTAAAGGCTTGTATTGTCTTATTGCTGATAGTAAGAACTGCAATTAGTCAGTCGTTTTTCCCGTATGTGCATCTTGAACAAATTCTTTGATATTGGCACTTCGTTCCAGTTTTCGACAAACGTCGTATGATGCTAGCTGTCCCCGATAAGGCAAAGTTCGCATCTTTAATCCCACTCCAAGTCACAATCAATGGGAGTCGTTTTGAAGTATAATTTGTATCAATGTATAAGTGTTTGTAATCAAGAACAGTCAATATGAATTGTTCTAAATTCTTTTCAGGGAATGCAATTAAATCAGATATTTATTTGAGGTGGCTTTTAAACTTTTTTTTCGTGAATTTCATTAACATACATCAGTGTTTCAAAAACGTTTTGGATCAAGGGATAATATATACATTTGAAGGATGGATAACGGGATACTAGAATAACTGAACACGTAGTGTACTATTCTATCTTTTTTAAAGTCATCATGGGATTTAGAGTCATGTCTTCAGAGTGTTTTTTTATAACGGTAACGACCTATTCATTGAACTTTCTACATTCTTCATATGGTAAATCTTAGAATGTATGTGGTATCAATGTGATATTGAATCCAATTTCCGGGAAAAGTAAGATCACCACGATGAAGTAATTCAGTGTTAGTCGTTTAAGAGAACGGTAGTTTAGATGCATGTAGTTTCGAAGAGTTTTTTTTACTAATGTTTCGGATATTCACGTTTCTCAATAAAGCTATTCCAAAAGTTAGTTTTCGTATTTAGTATTGATAGTTTGATAAAGTGACGCAAAAACGGATTGAATTCCTTAAATACCACAGGATACTTGATAAGTTTAAAAAAAGTTTTTTTCCGAAAACAGGATATATTAAAGCCATGTAATCGTATTCCTAAGTATTTCGCTCAAACTTCATTATTATTATTTTTGCTGCAATTTAAGTCCGAATCAATTCGTCTCTCATGATATGGGCACACGGAACAAATTTATTTATTATAATCATTAACGAACCATTCTTTTTGATATACAACCAATCAGTAAATAAAGATAAAATATAATGATAAAGGAGTGAATAGTGTCTGTAAGCATAAGTGTGAGAGTTGTGTTGGATCGACTTTCATTTGAAACTGGCATATCAGTCTATAGGAACTGAAGCTTGTAAATCCCACGAGCGGGATCGTGGATGCACACTGCTGAGGGGTCCTATGCTAGGACGAAACGGCCTTCCAGCTCTTCCAGGTTTTAAATGGTGGTCAAGCTTTAATTGACTCACGAACTTAACTAATAAAATCACCATAATTTCCACAAAACTCATGATAAAAATCAATAGAAATATACAATAGTCACTAATTTAAAGTTAGTTTTTTAAAGGCATTCAAATATTTATTTAAAAACAGATATTTAGCTACATATTGTAGACTGCTATACCGAGAACGTATATTCATGATCAAGGATGTGGTTTGAATGTCAACTGTCGAAGATCCCTAGTCAGCTAATGTATCATTCTGTTTTACATCATTCTTACGTTTGTGATTACACTAAACTAAAACGTAATCTAGTCATTTCTTAAATTTTCATAACTACATATTGTGAATAGCTTGAAAATCTGAACTAATTAAAAAGTTAATAAATGTCAAACGCCCTAGAGCTGTATTATACTATTTAATGAACTGAACTAATTTAGTGTTTCGAAGAACATTGCAAGAAAATAACGATGATCTTATCAATTTCCTTTGTCATTATTGATTTTCTACATCACCCTATCCGCAAGATATTTTGTTCATAGTCTATAGTAACATTATAACGTGAAAAAAGTGGTTACATAATTGATAGGGTGGATTGATTATCTTAGCGATCAATATCGGGTAGTGAGAACACTTACTATTACTATTATTATTAGCTTTATTCAATATTATATTTTTGGTACAATATAGAATTCTCAGCGCAAAGTATTTCAGCAAGTTTCCGTTTCTTTCTTCTTGGTCGGTCGTGGCGATAAATATTGAGTGATCGCCAGTTAGATGTTAGCAGTCCAGTAAATGAACATCTGAATGATGTACATTCTTTTCGTTACATATTGCCAGCAACCATATTGTCTCTTATTGAGCTTTTTGTAACTTTGACAACGAAAAGTTGTACACTTTTCAGAAATGCACCAGGATAGGTTATGCGATTAATAGACATAATGATATATTAAAACAAACAAAAATAGATAACTTGATGAAATGTCTAGATGGCAGGAACAGGTAGCCCAGATGCTCAAGCATGCCGCCAAGTAGTAGACTATTTATGTTCTTTTGAGTAGTGTAGACGATTTACTGACGCATGGTTATCCAACGAAAATAACAATTGAATTGACAGTTACTCAGGAATCAGTGAAGTTATCTTATTTGATTCATAGAACAAAATGGTCAGTTTTAACATCACTGACTGTGATACGAAGGGATTGAGGTCATAGTACCAGGCAGTTCACGATTTTCTTTAGGATTATTGACATGTTCGTTATCGAATAATGACTTGCACAAAATCAATGTTCAGGTGATCGTATCAGTTAATTGTAATCAAATGAAATTATCACTAAACCAACAAATGCTAACGTTTTATATTGTAACTTTTTAATACTAATACCATTTGTTATGGGATTTGTTTGTGTTCAATTTTAATTATTAACAAACTCTTTTGCAGATCTTCTGCAATGTCTTCACTTCTATTACTATTTGCTCTATTCGAGGGCATGTGTGGTTTTGTTTTACCGATATGCTCTGCCTTTCGTGTGTCCAGTATATCACAAAAACGATATTACTATGAAGTAAGTTAATTTATAAACAATAAAGTGGTAGTATTTTGTTGTTGGATAAATTGAGTTCATGTTTTCATTTGTTTAAAATGAAAGAAAATATCAGAAGGGGTTTTGTGGAGATGATAACATACTGATTCAAGGTTATAACTCTATTCTTATTTACAAATTTATTTAAACTGAGTATTCACTCATTTCATATTACATGGTTTCTAATGGTTAATGTTCTGGCAAGTTTATTTTTTTTGAAATAGTTTTGGAAATACGGTTGAAGTTAGACATTAACAGCCTTGAATGCCGGTCGGCTCACTGGTCTAATGGTTAAGCGCTCGAGCGCGAGACAGATAGGTCCTGGGTTCAAATCTTGCACGGGGGGAGAGATCGTGGATGCGCACTGCTGAAGAGTCCCATACTAGGACGAAACGGCCGTCCAGTGCTTCCAGGTTTTCCATGGTGTTCAAGCTTTAAATGACTCATGATTTCAACTAGCAAACTTTGTGAAATCTCCACAAACCCTTTTCTGAAAATGTCTAATTATTTATTACAAGTAAATCTCTTATTCAAAAAATAATCTATACTTTATTTATCAGGATTATTTCAGTAGTCTACTGCATTATTAACATTAATTCACGAGTTACTTTGATTGTTTTAATAGTTTCCATATACTTATATGAATATCATTGGATATTAGAGTGAAGATCGAATTAAAAAGAGCACTTCCTTACTCAATAGATTATTTTCAATCCCCCACTCCAAAAGTATTTCTGTAAAACATAACATAAACAACAAGTGATAATTTCAATATTTCACTTACGTGTTCTAGATGTTTGATTTGAAATAAGAATTCTTATCAAACTGTCGACATGGTAATTTAAGTATTATCACCAAAATACTGTTTATGCAAAATGAACAAATAAAAGTATTTTTCAATGTTATGTATATCCACCAACAATAGATAACTTACCAGAAGTGATACTCTTTTTATTCAATCCGTTTCCTTTTAAATATTCATCATGAAGTATTCAAAACTTTTTTCATACTATATTAGCATCTTTAGCCTTGTAGAAAACTCCTTCTATGATATAATTACATTCAGTGTAATTGTATTTTAGATGCATAGAATCTATATTAGTTTTAAGAGATGGATTCTACAAGGAATGATCAATATTCAGATTTATTAACTTATTATTTAGGAAATGTAAATTGTTTTTTCTATTGTTGTTGTTGTCATTTTTCATTCTTATTACAATGTTATAGTTCCCAGTTACAAATTGTTTTCTTTTTCAATGAGTGAAGCGATGATTCTAAGAAAATGAATCTCATTTCAAGGTATTAATAAATGTTTAGTTTATAAAATAGACAAGCTTGTTCTAACCACCATTGTAAGAGAGTTTTGTTGTCAAGTATTTTCACTGTCAATATCAAATATGTTAGATTAATGTCAATCGGTTATTTTTTGTTTCTTTGAACATCGTTCTATGTACATTGAATATTGTCACTTGGAAACTCATCAAATTAACACATTCTCTCTTTTTTTTTCGTTCCTTGACGTCTTCACATATTCCTATTTACATCAATCTAATATAAATCCGAATAATATAGAAATTCCGTCCAAGTATTTAATGATCAATATCATTTTATAAACATAGAATAAAATAGATTGTTGTAGATGTAAACAATTCCATTGATCTCATTAAGTAAAACGATCTAACATGATTGATGAAGCCAATATAACATTGTTACTATGCGTTTATATCAATGTATTATATTATTTTAACAGATTTAATAGAATTAAATTGATATGGGAAAATAATTGGTTATATGACAGTTTGATATTTCTCTACCGGTTTGATAGAGACAAATAAAAGTCAATGATAATGCTTATATATATTATATAATTTATTATTGATCAATAGAATAGATAATTGATTCAAAATAACTAATCAATAAATTGATCAGTTCATTTAAATTAAATATAAAATAATAAATCAATAATTAGAGGTTGTATGTTATTTTTTTCTTTTTATAATTGAATTCACGAGCCGATTTAAGTTAGACCACTATTGAAAATTTGGAATCATTAGACAACCATCTTGTTCCAGTATGAGACTCCTCCCCGCATGTGTGATTTGAATCAACGACATTTGGTCTTACACGCGAATGCCTAACCTCTAGACTTTTGGGACGCGATCGAATGGTGTTAATGTTTAACTAGCTTAGATCGACTCGTGAATTCAACTTTTAAAATCTCTGTACTGATAATAATCGTGTGCTCATTAGCGACTAGCTTTAAGATAGATGTCCTGGAGTTCTGGTGAGAAGCTGTGACCAATGGAGTTCAATCTGTGTTGAGTTTGAGGCACTTACCCACCTCAGACAGTGGATAAAAGGTTGTGCAAGATTATGAATCCATTGAATTTATACGCGGTATAATAAGAAACTAAGCTCTAGATATAACAGACATTAAAACCGTTGGTTACTGAATTAGTGATCTAGAGCTTAAGGGTTCGTTGGCTCAAGTCACATGTGAGGGATCGTGGATGCGCACTGCTGAGTAGTCCATCAATAGGACAAAGCGGCCGTGCAATGATTCCAGGTTTTCAATGGTGGTCTAACATCAATTGGTTCATAATCTTAGTAATCATAACAATCTCCACAACCCCATCCTGATAAATGAGATAGTTGAAATTCAAATCGATTTTACATTGTAATAAATCCAGGGAACATAATGAAGAATAAAAATCATACTAAATTAATAGATACTCTTGTATAGAATCCGTTCTTAACACCTCTCACTTTCTAGCTGGGATATTTTTTCTACAAGGTTTTTTTAAAGATCACTTGTTCCTCTTCGTAACATTTTCACTCTCTTCAGTTGACTGTGTAGTCGCGACTCAATTTTCTGTCACCTTTTCATTTTGCCAACTGAATCTTCCAGTAGTATTCCCAACATCAAAGTCTCCAAACTTTAGATAGCGGCATCAGACTTGGGCTCCCGTTTTTGATCTGATTTATACATCTATATGTGCTCTTCCATTTGGATTTCATATGTGACTGCTCTTGTTATATTTCTGAAGGTGATGCTCCATTCATTATGAACTCCTCAGTAACCGCTGTACAATTTCTTTTATTCTTCATCCCATTTATACCTATTAGGCGGCTCTTTCCAGTGAGGTGATAAAACGTTTCACCTGATTATTTAATAATAGACGTAAACAGAGTTAAGTTTTTTAAAAAAATTGTTTGCTCATTTATGTAAACTTTTAACATTAGGTACCATCTTTAACGTTATAGTCATTAGATATTCTGAAGTATTAATTATAAATTATACAATTGACTTTAAGAATGTACTAAACCGATGATTACTAGTTTCTTACAGGAACGCAATTAGTTTACTCATTCGGAAGGCACTGTATCATAAATCAACTGAAGTTTATAATTTTAGCTGTCGGGTCTTTGATTTTCAACTGAGAAAAATGTTGTTAGTGGTGCAATGTGGAAATATTGCATATTAATAAAGTGATTGACACTAGGAATAAAAAGTTACTCAGTATATCACAGTTTTCAGTGATCATTAATTTGTGATTAAAAATAAATAAATGAACCTAAATACCAATCTTTCTGATTGATAATTAATGATAAAAAGAATAACAAGGAAGTAGATTTTTGCTCAAGATATTAAGCAAACCACAGTCTACTCCTTTTATTTACTTAAAATGAATTGAACTAATAATGATAATGTCATCAATTTTGCGGCGAAACGATAGTGTTTGTAAATTACTAACGTAAATGATCTATGTGAAATGATTGGAGGTTTACTAGAGTTAGACGAGAATGATGTGACGAACCAGCTAACTTTGAAGTCACACTTCACGGTCAGCACCTAGCGTGGATTACCTCATCGACGTATCAAAATACTATGCCTGCTTTGAAGACTGTATAACGCAAACGACGTTACTATTTAAATATATTAATAAGAATGAGTACTGAGTAGATAGTGAGACCACCGCCACATAAGCCAATCCATGGTATACGATCAACTGATGCGCGTTGGTTGTCGTCGACTTTGACAGGGATCGATAATCTGTTCATTATTCAGTGACTTAACTGCCGGACGATTTGGCTAAGGCTTAGTGATATTTCACTGGCTTTACATGGTTACAATAATAATGGAATATCGGGGAAATAAGAAGGGGAACTTTTATAAGTACTTGCTTACTTAAGATAATACCTTATATTTTGAACATGGCCAGATTCAATGTTATGAAAGTATGTTAAAATGTGATAATAATCGCTAATCTTTGAATTTCAGTCAATATTCTATCCAAATGTAATTGAATAAATCTTAAATGAACGTCATGTAATGGTCAATTGTATTATTAAAATGGGAGAATTTGACTTTTTTTTGCTTGAGATTATGAACTGATTGATGTTAGATTATCATTGAAAACCTGGAAATACACGATGGCCGTTTCGTCTTATTGTAGGACTCCTCAGTGACAGTGATCATTCACGATCCCGCAACCCTATACTGATAATTTGATTTTTAACTATTAAAGTTTAAAATAATTAATTCATAAAATGTATTTTTTTGTTTTCTTTAACTATTTATCTACCATAATCATTATCTACGTGGTTGAATAATCATGTTTAATAAAAAAAAGAATTTTTTAATATTTCAATATTGTTTATCCATTCTGGCATTGGCTTATCTACAATCATTAATATTCTATTATGATCGTAAAGAGAACTTACGTCATAAACAAGAAATTGTATTTATGAATCAAATAAATGAAGCTAGACGAAGATGGCCAAATCATCATAGTTCACCAGAAGAAACTGAAAATAATCTTATAAATAACCATCATACTACTACTAATACTACTATTACTACTACTACTAATAATAATAATAACATAAATAATTATGGAGAAAGTCAATGGAATTTACAATTACAAAAAAATGAAGATAAATTACGTTTGGTTACATTTATTCATGATACACATGAATTATCTACCGATAGTCATAGTGATTCGACACCGATTCATATGGATTCTACAAATATGAAGTGTAAGCCAATTTCTTATAATTATATAAATGAAAATTTGTATAAGAAAAAAAGAATTTAGTGAAGAAACTTGCTTTTTCCAATGAAATCATTTACTTAAGTTGTACATTCGTATATATATATAGTTATACGGATTAGTTGAAGTCAGACATTAACACCGTTGGATGTTGGCCGGCTAATTGTTAAGCGCTTGGGCGTGAGACTGATAGGTTCTGGGTTCGAATCTCACGCGGGGGGGGCAGGATTGTGGATGCGCACTGCTGAGGAGTCCCATACTAGGACGAAACGAGTGTCCAGTGCTTCCAGGTCTTCAATGGTGGTCTAGCTTCAATTGACTCATGATTTCAACTACTGAAAATATTTCTATAGGAGTATAGAAAAGATTGCATCACAAAAATGGATAACTTTTGCTGATTAATTTTGTAAAATTCAAGAATTAACAGTATTATTTTCAAATATATAAATTCAAAGGTTTAGTGTCAGAGTATCACAGAAATCACAAAGCCTAAATACAGGGATCATAATTAATCAGTCTTTAACATGTTGTATAATCGCTAATTCTGTTACAAACTTTAAAAATGTTCACAAGTTCCTTTAATTAGAAATTCTATTGATCCTAATAATTAGTCAATATTTCTCATTTTACTGAGTAAATAGTAAATAACGTGGTCACATCCAATAATCATTGAATTAATTTACTATAACATATTGACAATAATGTCTAAAAAAACTAGTAGAAAATTTTCTTCATTTATTCAAGAATCTGTCATGAAAACAAAGATTTAAGGATGCCATTTTTGTGCTACTTTATTTGTGAATGATTTTGTAATTACTTAGTCAATTAGACGCCTTGGTTAAGTGTTTCCTAAAGCTTCATTGGTCATTCCGTAGATGTTTATCAACCTTGTACATTAAGCAAGAAATATGATGATAATATAGGATTTAAGTCAACAGTTAGCCCTCAAATTCGAACCATAGAATCAAAATATTGTTATTGTTGTGTTGAAACCTGTTTTGTAAGTTTATTTGGTTGCCGACCTCACAATCGAATGAATAGTCTGATATTATCACTCATCAACTTATCACTCGCGAAACCTAATCAGACTATTTAGTAGATCAACGGAATATTTAATAAAATTTAAAGTCCAGTATTTCAGCTGAACTGGCCATGAAAGAAAATGGTTGTTCAAAGATTATCTATCACCTTAAAAAAGCAAACTGTTTTTAAAAGGTATACTTGTCTAGAAATGAATAACGGCTAACAGTGGGATCCAGGAAAAGCGTTTTATCCTATTTTGGACTCGTCAGCTGTATGTACTTGCATCTCAGAGTTGATGTTTATTCCTGGACTCCACCCTAGTGCCATTCTCTTCAAACACCATCGCGCTATCCACTTAGTTACTTAGTCCTGCTAGCCACTATTCATCTTTGCTTATAATGCTTGTGAATTAAGGCAATACACACAGTATGCATATATGCCAATAAGAGACCGATCGGTTGCAGTCCTAAACATCGATGAGGAAATTCAAGTAAACAATACCAAGTGAAGTATCGTCTTCCAGTTGATATTAAACCATTTAGTTGTTTTATTAATTTTATTATTCAGATTTGGAAGATCGAACACGTTTCATTGATCAATATGATGATAATATTAGTTCAAATGAAGACGAAGAAAATCCATTCGAAGAAAACCATAAATTATCAAACAATAAGGTAAAATATTGTTAGATGATGAAATAAAATAAACAAAATGAATGAATAAAGTTCTGTCTAAGTTCATTGTTGAATGAAATTTTTATCTTATATTTTACAGGTTAATCGAAAATCAGAAATACTCTGTTTAATCGAGTGCTTTTTAGTCTTCACCTGATCAAAACCTTTTAGTTAGTTTCTTTCACAATTATCTAATTTAAAGAGCAATAGTTTCTGTTTGGTGACTAAAGGAAGTTTAAAAGAGGACAGTTGACATTTAATTAGTAACATTGTATACGTGAAATGTTAAGAGAGCCGATACTGGTGATAGACTTAGAGTAAGCATCATCTAGTCAGAGTTATTATCGAACAACACATTGATTTAAGGTTTGTTGTCAACAAATGTCTTCTACTATTCACCAGCGTACCAGTGTGGTGTATGCTACTCATGTGGACAGATATAAGTAGTACGTAACATCAATCGAAAAAGGAATGCCTGGTAGCAGAAGGTTGATAAGATCAAAGAGAAGAGAACGGGATCAGAAAGTGATTTGTATAGAAATGAAGGAACAATAACGTCCGAGACAATTTAAGGAAATTTCTCAAGTGAAGTATTGAACGTATGATATTCTCATTTTAGTGAATTACTATGTAATTGTATTTTTGGTTACATTAAGTTGTCTCCATCTCTGTTTCCGTTCGTTATACCAGTTTAGGATACGTAATTAATGTAATATTGTATTTCTCTATCTTTCAATCTCGTATGTACATTCACTATATTTTACTTTACCATTCTTTTAGTCGAATCAAAATGAACAAAAGTCTCCAACTTTAAATGTTAAATTTGCTAGCTCTGTCACACCTCTGACTAAACAGAATGACAATGTCAATAACAACGGGAATATTCACAATAATATTAATGATATTGAAAGCAATAATAATATTGAAGGAGAAGAAGGGGAAGAAAATAAAATTATTATTGATTCTATTAATGTTAATAATCATGAAATTAAAACAAATAATAATAATCGACGGAATAAAATGAATCTACAACTTAGCAGAATAAACATTTCCAATGATAATAATAGTCCTAGTAATGATGAATGCAATCATACCATTGGTGGTGAAAATAATCATAGTAATACTACTACTACTACTACTACTAATAATAATAATAATAATAATAATAATAGTAACAATACTGATATTAATGATTTACAAATTATGAGAGCAGATGATGTTTATTTTACTTTAAACAAAGTTAAACTATGCAACAGTTTTAATCATCATGCCTCTGGCATAAAGGATAGTAGTGATGTTAGTCAAAGTGGATATAACTCGACAAGGAGGCCAAATGACAAAAATAATTGTTTGGCTGTAAAAGCAAAAAATGTGAACACATTTAAATCGAAGAAAAAGCGAATGACATCATGTTGCGGTGAACGGTCAAGCAGTCCGGCACAACCTGGGTCATTTTATCCATTAGCAATTCTTTTCGGTGATAAACCAAGAGTATCTAGACGTGAATGTTATTTTTCACGAGACACAGAAGGCGTTAATTTGTATTTGCGTTTAGGAGCTGTGGGTAAGTAATTAATTGAATAATAATAACGAAAATGAGCACAGTTGATTATCGATTATTGTCAATGAAACTTCAATTTCTTTGTTAGAAGTATTTTAAATAACATCATCTTCATTTAGGTTTAAATGTACTGTAATTTTCTGCAGTGTAAGACGGTTGATGATAGCCAGAAGGAATTCCTGTGTCTAGGTTCTATGCTAATTGTCACTCATCTGCAAGATGTACTTATAATCATATGGGAAATGATGCCTCATGGCGGATTCAAACTGGAGTCATTCAGCTTCGAAGTTTTATATTATTAATAAGCTATTCAGGCCCCTAATGACCTCCTGTGAATTTGAGATGTATACACTAACTGATCTTTGAGTACTGAACAATGATTCAATGCTCAACGAACCATATCTATGATCAAAACGTTGTGTAGGTTATTCCCAGTCACTTAGATTAGTGGCTATATTGTAACTTAACAGATCGAATCGGTTCACCAATAAAGACTAAGTGATCTTGACTCTAGTCACTACTTAGTGACCAATAAATATAGGTAATCATCGGGTTACATAAAATCAGTCACTAACCAAAAAGCTTGGTGGCAACGAATCCGACTGTGACATTTGTTAATTTGGGTATAAATCCCATTGTGGAGCGTTGATTTACGTCACTAACTAGTGACAAATAGTACAAAACCAAAACTCGAATATTTCACTCAAGCAACTACAAGCATCTGATATCAAAGAATAATACAAACAGTGCCAAGTCATTCATTAATAACTATATTGCAAATCAGTTAAACAGATATGATATTCATTACTACACTGTGATTGATTAATGTGGAATAATATACTTGTTGCTATTGATATGATTCGTTTCGATTAAATATACTATGGTTGTTCTATCCATTTGTATCAGAATTTGTAATGTATGGACAGAAATACAATAGGTTATATTTAAAAATAAACTTACTGATCTAAAGGGAAACATGGGTGGAGAGTGGTCATTAAAATGAATATTGCAAATGTATCGTGCTAATAGGTAACAGTCAAGATGAGAAATAAGTTAAGAGTTTCTTACAAATTAACTCAATTTTGTATCTATTAAAATAACAATGAATAAGCCCCAGATAATGTTTAATTTATTTTTATGTTCCATAAATTTATCACTTAAGGTTTTGGTTTCGGAGTAATGATATTCGATGGCTTTAAAATAGCAGAACCATGGGAGGAAGGAGCTAATTCAGTGTTTTCATGTCATGGGCATTTATGGATTCCGTTACATTTACTTCATTTTGTCTACGTGTTTTGGCAAACATACTTCTTATTTAAACATCATCGGGTAAGAACTATGCAGAAATCAGTAAACTGACGGATTAAAATTATGACGACTTTGAATACAAGTCGAGTTTAGGTAATAACATTAGGTTAATATGAATGCACTGATGAATGAATCAGTGTTAGACCACTCTTTAAAACTTGAAAGCACTGGACCGCCGTTTCGTTCTAGTATAAGACTCCTCGGCAGTGAACGTCCACGGTCTCTCACGTCAAACTAGAACCCAGGACCTTCGGTCTCACGCGTGAACGCTTAAGCTCTAGACCACTGAGTCGACATCCAACGGTGTTAGTGTGTAACTACAGCTAATTCACGAAATTGTGCGGTCATCTTACATTGTCTTCGGCGAGTGACTGCCTCATTTACTTTTAAAAAGTGTTTAGTTTTATAATAATAATGCTTCTGACTGGAAATTGACGAGAGTTAAAAAAGAGTGATAATTGCTTGTCAGTATAAACAAGGTTTGACTTGATAATTTTAAATTTATTTAGCATTAGGTAAATTAGTCCGACTCGTGCGTCTACGTTGTGTCTCCTGGATCGTGGGGACGTGCTCTCATGAATCAACGCGAGCGGCTAGGTATAGATCTGGACAATCCACAACTTTATTGAAAACTAACTAATTACAAAATGCTCAAAGATGATACACAAAACTACTGAGGGTAAAGCTGATAAACTGGACTGGGATTTGACGAAGTTATCCTTCAAGAAGATTCTCCTGGCTCTAAAAAAGCTACAAAAAATTACACAAAGGCACAGAATGAAATAAGCAAAATAAGACCAATCTTAAGATCAAATAACATCAACTTAAAAACGAAGGCAAGATTAATTGAGACAACAGTGATACCTGCCCTGATATATGGTCTAGAAACAATAGTGCTATAACAAAAGGTTCAACAAAACTAGAAACAATGTTGGATATTGCTAGATGGATGATTCTAGGAATAAATAATAAAAGGCAGAAAACAGTAGATGAATTAAAAGAGAACAATAAACCACCAAACTTAACGGAGAAAATCAGAAGTAGACTGAACTTATGGTACACAGCCAAACAAGTAAAGAATAACATTATGTGCAAAATGAATAACAGCATGATAGAAAGAATAGTACAAAAAGCCCATACAAAGAGTTGGATCAGACAACTACAGGCAGATATACAAGTACTTAACGAACAACCAATTGAAAACTGTTTAGACATCTCAACCAATGTAAAACCAGGTAAATTTGATCATGATCAACCTATCATAATTAGAAAACGAAAGCTGAAAATCAAACGTTTAAATGAAGCTGAAGTAAAGAGATACGTCGTCATAACAAAGATGATCATGGGAATAAAGAAACAGAAATAATAAAAATAGACACATGTGTGTTTAATAAATGGCTGTCTAAAAGAATGGTAAAAGACAAGGATAGCTGATAAGGCACATGCATACACGTCATCCTTAATAAATAAATAAATTTGATTAACAAAAGACGGAACATAAGCAAACAGAAGACCCTGAAGTTTCGACGAACAACAATCAACTAAATAAATATTCTTGTGAACATTGTACAAATAAATTAGTAACATGGAAGAATATAGTTAATCATTGCTATGTGGTTCATAAATCGTCGGAAATCACCGGATGTGAAATAAGAAAAAGTAAGATCAAGACAAAGATCATACTGAGCCCCAATAGTTGCGCCGTGTCACCAATAAATGTCCAGATAAGCCAATCGGCTTTATCGACCTATATATAGTTGGAACGAGCAAGTTTGCAAAATCCTAGTGAATACGAACTAAAATTTCCGATGTATCGTACTTAAGTGTAAGCCACTTCTTTAAAGAACTGAAAAAAACAAGTGGATTAATACACGTTTAAATAGTACAAAGCACGCAAAGCAGAATATTTTTATTGCATAATTAAAAGCCAATTTAGTCTCATCATGTTACTGTTACGTAATTTCTGTCAACGTTATTTTTTATTGTGCAAGACATAGCTGTGTGTAAGTGGGTGTAAAAAGTAGGGTGTTTTTGTTGTGGAAGAGTAAGGTTAAGAATATTTGAATGTTTTATGGTGGTGTGATATGTGAACAGGATTAATTGTGTGGCTTTTTGGATAAATGACCCATAGTAGGTGGATCGTTAGGCCTCCTGTTTTGCTCGCTACTTGATTAACGCAGAAAACGGTATATAACTACGGCACTCGAACGTATAGAACCCTACAGTCGCAAAATCAGAAGACAGAAGAAAGCTGGATAAGAGTCAAAATGTACGGAAAATCATGGGTATTTTAGATAGCGATTGTTATGACATCATTATAATTCAGCCAATCCTTAGAGGCAAGTTATGCTACTTTTTAATCGTAGCATGCAACGGTGATATTCTAGAAAGCTCCATCACGCTGTGATTGGATGGAAACTCTTCGGCTTCTTCAAGGCCTCTGGAGGGTCCGTCTCAACATCTTCACTTTTATCAAACTCGGTTGTGTTTGGTAAAACATAAAAAGCTTCAGCCACTCGTCTTCCCTTGTAGTTGGATAATCCTTTTTGAACTACTGTGATTTTATTGACATCAATTTGGTGGTTGTTAAAAGTACCAATTAATGTTCTTGCTAAACTGATTCACAAATTTTCCAGTTCTGCAGGATTTCATGGAAATCATAAAATCGACCCAAGTTAGACCATCATTAGTAGTCATTTATGTGTAGCTTGGATGGTCATTGAGACAAGTTATAATTCCACCCGAAGACCTTCTAATATAGAATCGATATGCTTATTCTTGAGTGAATTGATTTTACCACAATGGTTTGGATCCTCATCTCTCAATGTCATGGTAAAACACGTTAACAACTATTAGAACAGGTATTGATTAAGGCTGAGTATGACTGAAAAATGTAGACTTATTAATTGTTGAGTTGTAACCAATATCATGCTTCGTATGAATAGAATAAGGTTAATAATAACATTTTGTTTTACAGAACATTATTCCAGCTAACATTAAGAAAGACAATGGTACAGTAATAAATTGTTTGTGATAAAATATTCATACAGCTGATTCTGTGTAAAAATTGTCAGAAGTGTATATGTAATATACTTGAAATCTAGCTAAGTGACAATAACTCATTATACAAGACACCAAGCATAAGTAATCTCTTTTGTATTTCCATTCATATTTATCGTTATATCAATAAATTATTGATTTCGTTTATTGATATCCTGGAGCGTCTAATGTTGAAGTGTTTTTTCTATTATAAATTATTTTCACTTGGTATTGTTTGGCTTGTATCTTTCCATTGAGGTTTTTTAGGACTGCAATTGATCAGTCTGTCATTGACATATGTGCATACTGTGCGTATGCCTCGATATTGCCTTAATTCGAGTCCCAGAGTGAACATCAACTCTCTGAGATGCAGGTACATCCAGCTAACGAGTCCCAAATAGGACGAAACGCGCGTTATGGATTCCACTGCTAGCCACTATCCATTATTTCTTATAAATTGTTTTGTTTAAATTCATATTTAATTTGACTACCTCATTCTATGTTATATATATATATTTATTCCAAATCATTTATTCATTATCACTTTATTCTTTTAATTAGGTTGTATTCAATGTACAAAAATTTGTTTTACGTTTTCTTTTATGTCATTTGGCTGTGGCTAATTTATGTCAATGGTTAAAAACAATTGTCGATGAAATTGGTAGTGAACCAGGACATGATGAAGAGTTAATATCGGATTCGACTATAGTTTTTCCATCGGAATATTTTTTAGACGCAAAAATACCACATAATAATACAACTTTGTATGGATATACAAATGGAGAAAAGTTATCAACTTTTAATTTGACTAATTTAGCAAATATGGTTTTATTAAATAGAAAAAAACATCATGCTAATGTAAAATCTCACCATACAAGTTATGATAACTCAACTATTCATGCAGCTGAACAAGCAGTGTTAGGTATGTGTGGATATATTTACATTTTAGTGTTGATTTTCGCACTGAAACTTAAGCCTACTGCCTATTACTTCGAATACTGATGAGTTAACCAATAAGCTATGGAATCGTGAAAGCTAGCGACAGAAACAAATCTGATTCAATCCTGAATATCGGCAAGCTTTTCAGCTCATTAAAAATATCCTACCCGTTAGAGAATTCCATAATTGTCTAAACTTGGTAACACAGTGAACATCGTACTTACATTTAAAGTGATAGGTACTTAAACGATAACATCGGAGTATATGAACTTCCGTTTAGTGTTTCCGAAATAGGAGGAAACAAGCATGTAGGATTCGATTGTAAGCCAAAGTTTTGATAAACGTTTGATCGAAAACATGTTGGTAGATTACGTATGTCAAAAGAGACTGAAAGAAATCTTATTTCGAATTTAAACAAAGGGAAAAAAATTAAACTTTTGAGGATAAATAATACACATAAACATTTTATATGAAAACTTTAATGGAATTTCAAAGAACTTTCTCATCCAGCTGGAAACAGTTGTAACAGTGTGACCTTAGAGATTGGTCCGTTCAACCCGAAATAATCACTTGCAGTAATTAATTCAAAAATACTTGGGTTGTGTAATAGCTAATTCACATGTCGTTGCAATCATAAACATATCCAAGCTAGACCATCATCGAAACCTGAAAGTGCTGGATGGTCGTTTTATCATAGTATCGGTTACCTCAGCAGTACATATCAACGACACCGCACACCGAAATCAAATGAGGAACCTTCGGTCTCGCGCGCTAATGCTTAACCTCGAGACTACTGAACCGGCATCCAACGGTGTTCGGTATTTAACGTCAAGTAATGCACGACCATCTTCTTTGGTCAGTAACTGCCTCACATTTGACATGGATTAGCTCCATTGGCAACGATCTGTTGAAGAGTCTCACACTAGGACGAAAAGACCGTTCAGGGCTTTCTGATTTTCAATGGTTCTGTAACTTAGGTCAGTTCATGATTTCAGTGAAATTCAACAATCTCCAAAACCCAATTCTGATCATTTTCACGCGGTCGAATTGTGAAAATAATTCTTGGAATAATTATATTATTCGTTTTGTCATAGCATTTGGGATCTAGTGAACTTAGTCGTAAGCCCTTTCCATTTAAATATTATGATTTATATCATCCATGCACAAATATCGTTACAGTCAATAAAGATACAGTAAATGAAAATGGGGGATCAAACATGCATTGCTGAGCAAAAGTAGATCACCATTAGTGGGGTACTTAATCTATGATACAGGAAATCAATTTGTTTGCATCTAACTTACGAATACCGTTGGGCAAAATATCTATATTGTTCTGTGATATTCGTCTAATGTTTAATAATGTCTTCTCAACGTTTAGACTTTTCCTTCGCTATTTTCGTTTGTATTGATTTTATATTCAGGTTGTGGAATAACAGTCAAATATTTGGCTCCATATTTGTTTCCATGTGCAATTGAATATAGCTTAATAGCTGGTGCAATATTTTATAAAATGTTTGAAAAAGTTGGACATGTACGTAAAGAATCGGAACGCTTAGAAAAATTGCGTAAAGCTAATCCCAAAACAAGTCAATTCTCTGAATGTCATCGTTCACATAAAGGTTTATTTGTTGGCCTATTAATATTTATGGCAACATTAGTTGCAATGAGTCTATTTTTTATATTTATTGTGAAACGTGATCGACGGAATACAGCTATAACATTATATCAAGGAACTGAACTAGTTCTATTATCTGTTAGTACTGTGACATGTTTAATTAGTTTGTTTCGTTTACAAGCACTGAAATTAAGTGATCTGTCCGAAGAAGTAGCGTTTGATGATAATTTATTATTGATTGGTTTGGTTGGGATGTTATTCTATGATTTATTCCTATTGGTGCCCGCTTTAGAAGCTATACCGAATGGTGTAATTGCAGCCAAATTATATGCGGCTAAGGCTATCATGGAAATGATTCAGTCTATGCTACAAGTAAGCGTTTTTTGATTTTGTATTCTTCAAATAAATTGTATTGATGGTAGTAATATTAATAAACCCTTTTTGTGTTTTTGGATATAATCTACAGCTTGAATCAATTACACTTTAGTTTAAGTCACGAAGAAGGTAAACTATGCGGCAATCTATGGGTGTTGAATACTCACATTAAAGGTTTACGTGTATTCACAGTTTATAAATACGGGATGATTTAGTGAGTGATAGAGTTACTTCACTAAAGCTCAACCAAATTGGAATTTAACTAACCATACAATCTTGGTAGATTATGATTTTGTAAACCAATCATTTATTTGCTAAATTGTGTACAAATACGAACTAAGAATGTTGTACAATATCGGTGTCTGAATCCAGCTATAAGAATCACATGAACTAGAACAACCGTTATTCTGTGGCCAAGGTTGGTTGTGAAATGTAAAAGCAACTGCAGTAAGGCATACACAGTATGATATTAGTATTTACTAAATCGCATCGAGGAAACAATTAAAATTACATTTTTCCCAAAGTGAATTATGAATGATAGCTAAATTGAACATATTTTACTTCAGAGTCAGTCAGTATTGATACACATAATTCAAGACGTTTACACCGATTATCATTTAGCTGATAAGTACTCTCAAATTATGTTTAAAGAATCTATTCTCCAGTTGTAGATTCTAAGTGGTATTATGGAGATTGGAAAACCAGCATAATATTTACTCGTTTTGACGCAGATGTTACCTTATCGTTTGTGTAAATTATGCTGTCGAACAAGTCATTTTATAAGTGATATACCAAACAACAGGCGCTCGTAGATTACAGATACTCAAACAGATTAGAATACTAATAAAAATGTTATCTCATATAACCGCTTTACTGATACGAAATTTTTATACAGCTATTTTGGACGTTACAAATGATTCATATTTGCCTTGCATTTTTAAGCTTGAAGTAACTTTTTCAACCTCGAAAAAATTCAATCATATGTAGAAGCCGTAATGATTAGTTTTGAGCTAGCAATTCTCACAGTGAGACCTCCATTGAGGTACCACTGATAACCGGTGGGAAATGTATAGTTGTTTTTTCTCAATGTAAGCCATCAACTCTTACTGGTGTCAAAGCAAATTCTTTGGTTTTTGTCGTAAGTACTTTATCATTAGTCTAATTAAGCTAGCAACTCGTACCACTAATAAATCATAGTACGCTTTATCATTACGAAACTTCTTGTCAAAGCATTAGATCAGTTAGCTTACTTGATGAAGTTAGATAATGTTTTTAGGATACATCTATGCAAACTATGTTAACAACGTAAGTTCTACATGCTGTTTATTAAAATGTTTATATGACAAGTGTTATGTCCCGACAAACATAAGGAATGGTAACTTTTGGGATCACATTATGAACCTATAATATGCGTACATTTTTATCGTATAATTGCTAAATAACTAAACTATTCACACTCATATACCTCTTATTATGAGCTTTATTTTGACCTATGAACTATTATTATACGATTTACTATTCTTGGATTATTCCCTGTCTATTAATCACTACCTTCCACATTCACAGCCACATTTGACCAAACCTTGTGCAAATGTTGTTTCCTATTTTGATGATACGATGTGATCTGTCTGATTGGTATATAAACCCAGTATGTTTGAAATAAACGATTCATATCGCAGAGGCTGAGATTGGTGTTCTGGACTAGGCAGGAAGCAGAAACGATAAGGGCTCCAGACTTCTTGCACGGGTTTTATGTGTCATTGGTCCGATCGATAATTCGCTGCTCTCTAATTCGCGGTGTCGTTACGTCATAAATTAACAGGGCACACAGGCCACAAGTTGTAATAACAAGAAGGAACAAACAGACAACCGAGATGCCACCACATTAATATGTAGCAAACCGGAAATGATGAACTTTGATATCAATAATGAGAAGAAAAAAAAAGAAGAATAAACAGCTCTCCGCGTCAAATATCCTTATCAGTCTAAGATAAGGTGGTTTGACCAAAATCTCTTTTTATAAATAGTTTATCTAGTCAATTAGGAAACATAATTCCAGTTTACTTCAACATAAAAACGATATTTATTAAAATATTTTATTTCAAGATGTAGTTTCTCGAGGATAACTTTGGAATAAAGCCAATTTTTTTCGTCCAACAATGACTATCCTAAGTCGTTGGTTTATAAAATACCGTTTCATCCTAATGAAACATTGTAATTAACACTTTTTTCATTCAATTTTAGGTGTTTTTCATTTTGGAAGCATCTCGAAGATGCGCTGGAACATTAGAACATGTACAAAAAAAACCAGGACGTACAATGATTACATTTTTATTAGTATTAAATTTAGCTATGTGGTTTGTGAATACATTCGAAGTGAAACACGCAGATAATCATAGTATACATATAAATTATTATTCATCTATGGCATGGAAAATTATTACACATATAGCATTACCTTTAATTGTATTTTTTCGTTTTCATTCCACAGTTTGTTTATCTGATATTTGGGCAAATGCTTATCGTTTTAGAACAGAGTAAATGAAATTGTGTTATATCTGTTTTTCGTTTTCTTCTTCTATTCATTAGTTATTTGAATTTTCTTCTATCAATCAGTTATTCATTTTCAATGTGATACAATATCGGATAGAGAACTTACTTTTATTGATAGAAATGAATCAGGATATTACTGAATATATAATGAGCTTATATCGATAGGAAATGTGATGAAATGTAGTCTTATGTAAAAACGATTCTTTATGTTAAACAGATGTAATGATATTTAGTAAAATTATGTTCTTTCTTTGTAATATCATGTTTCAAATTATTTCCTTTATTGTTCTATATATTCTATGTGCCAATGAAAGCCACATTCACGTTGATGTTGTGTATATGAAATCTTTTAATATATATATATATATATATATATATATATATATATCTGCAAAATATATTTTGTATACTTTTTACTGTTATTATTTAAACTTGTTTTCAGTTTATTATTTACTGATACAGTACACCATATTCATGGATATATAGATAAGTCATTTATGAATTAGTTCAATCATTCAATGTTTAATCATGACATAGAGATCATGAAAGACATATGGCCATCATGTAGAATTAAATTATTCAAAGAATTCCACTAGTTTGTTTATAATTTTGACGTTTTAAAAGTACAATCAAATACACTAGATGATATTGATAAGTATATATATATATAACATAATTTAAAGATAATAGTTTTGAATTGATTTCGATTAGTAACATAAAAAGAATAAAGAATACCACATTCATATTGGAACAAAGTACTCTTGGTTGTCAATCATAATTCGGTTGATAATAATCTATAATTTGATCACTACACTTTCATGTTATAAAGAACTCTCCACCAAAAGATAAAAACAAACAAACTGTTTACATTTAATATTTAAACATTATACCATTTGAATTATAAATTTACAATGGAAAATCAAGGTTCAATTATTAAAAAGAAAAAAAAGTAACAACTAAGTACATAGTATTTTAGTATTCTCTTTTGATGAAAACAAAACCAGAAGTTAGTAAGAGGTGTAGGAAGGATTTGAATATGACCAACTTGGTCACGTGTGCTTTTACGGGTATGAAGGCTGGTGTCACCAACAGTTACATAATCACAAAAATACTTGATTTGAATATTAATGATAAAAATATAAAGTGAATGAGTTAAAAAGCATAAAAATCATAAAATTATTTCGATATTACTCTGTTTATTCAAAAAAATATATGATCAGGTATACGGTATACATGTACTATGTATATAATGCTGAGAATAATCTTAACAATGATGATTAGTTTATCACATTCATGGGACTATATAGACCCATAGTCGATACAAGCAAACATCAAATGAAATGCAGGCAAATACATTAATTAATCTGAATATGTTCAATGCTGCAAATATAGTACAATAAAATGACTGAACTAATTGTGTTTTCTTTTCCTTTTTAAGATATTTATAAACAAACAATGAAAAACAAAAGACGACTTCATAAACATTTTTCAGTTGTCAAGTATTATGACAAGAAAAAAAAACTGATAATCACTAAGAAAGACAAACAATGTTATGTTTAAAGGAATAAAAAATAAGTATTCTTTATGATATTTCCTTAATCTTATTATCTCATTATGCATCATACATCAGTAAGCATAATCATTTGTGATCATAGTTTGATGCAGTTTCATAACTTCTGGGCGCTTGTGAATTGATATCATCTATATCTGTAATTGTATGAGGATTAGTTGAAATTGTTGAAGATTGGGAATAGTTATGTGAATCATGATGCAGCACATTGTTTCGTCTATTTACTAAAGCTTCATTTATTGTTGTGGAATGTGGAAATTGTGTTTGAAGGGTTGATTGTGTTATAGGTAAAGATCTAATCGGTTGTATTGTTGGTGGTAACAATGATTGCGGTTGAGGTGTTAATGTTTGATGGGGAGGTGTTGGGCCAAGCAGATTAGGATAATCATTTAATAATTGATTTGTATCTGTAAAATTCCCAGTTAATCTACTTAAAGCTAAACGTTGATTAACACGATCAATAGCAGCTAAATCTTCATCGTCATCACTCGAACGGAAAAGTAATAATGAAGCGGCAGCTGCCGCTGCAGGCAAAGCTTGTGGATTTGAGAAATCGACTAAATCTTGAAGACCATAAGTATTAATTCCAGTAGTACCACTAGGTAACTGAGAAATTAATGTATTCTGATTCTGTTGTTGAATAACAGTTGGGTTAAGTAAATTACCATGAAAGAAAGGCATTACCTGTTGTGGATAGGTTAAATTTTGTCCAATATTTTGATTCATTATTCTATGTCTCTGTCGAGATGAATGATGAGTCGATGGGTTGTTTGCGTTAATTTTATGAGTTTGTAGTGGAGCTAAAGCACAGTCTTTTTCATCATCTTCTTCCTCATCGATATCTGGATTCAACTCTGGATCTGGATCAACATCTACAGGATTAACTTTGTCATCTTTCTCATGTAAAATAACACCAGTAGTACTGGAATTCTGACCAACTTGTGATTTATTAATTATATCGCTCAAACAACATTCATTATTACGTTCATCTTTATGCATTGAGTTTGTTTTATTGACTGTATAACAATGTGTTGATGGATGAAGTATATCTGAATGGACTAGATTATAAACTAATGACTGTGAATTAGTTGTGGCCTTGACTTTATTCATCTTATCGCGAGCAACATCAAATGCTTTGTGTGATAATTCAGTTAACTTAGGTAACCATTCTTGATAGATCTTTTAATAGTAATAATAAAATAAAACCAGAAAATCTCGTAATCAATCTCACAGATTTAAACGTAAACATTCATTTTCAGTGTATTTAAATCTACTTTAAAAGTGGATTTTAATTGCTAAATCACACCGAACAAACAACCGACAAATAATATCTGAATTGCCTAAAAAGAATATCATGAATCGCTATTACTCACACGTTATTAGTAGCTTAAAAAGTAATTAAACTTCTATCCAAGCAATATGCTGGATAAAAAACAGTATGTTTTACTGAGTTGTAGATGAAATAGTTTACCTTATGCAACTCTCTATTCAGAATAATTTCCCATCTAAGTATTGTTTCATAAATTTAGTCTCCGTAACAGTAGAACTGACTGTTAACAGACTTATTCAGTTAGCTTATAGTAATGATAAATGAGTAGCTAGGGTTATTTCAAACAAAGTTAACTACTTACATGGAGTCATTTACTTTAAAAACTCATTCTAGAAAGTGAACAGACGTCTACCGTTATGGCTGAGTAAGCAGAAATAGAAACCACCATAGGTTGTGTTTCGATATAGCTAACTGAACTAATAAATAGAAAATATATTCCTGATAATGTGTTCAACAATGTGTTTAGCTAGATTGTATAAGACTGATATTGAACGGATAATCTGTAGTCAGCATTCTCACAAATATTGATTTAAGATTAAGGAATTAAATGCATAAAAACTTACTTTTTTACGAGGACTTCTTAGGAAATCAGGACTCAAACGTCGATCTGATGATCCACCTGAATGTTGTAATACATGTAGATAGTTTGGTCGATCAGGATGTAATCGTTCGAAAAGGCGCTGACCAATGCCTGTATTATTCATATTGGTGTTAGCTGGTGTTTCAACCATGGAAAAGGAAGAAAGTGATTTTATGCTCATCTCATCATGTAGTTGAACTTCGGTACTTTCCAAATCCGGACTCAGACCCACATGTATTGTAGGTTGATGCAATCTAAAATAATGGTAATCATGATAAAAAAAGGTCATACGAAAATGAGTAAACTGTAGAACCAGTACAAACATTTCATCAGAAAGAAATAAAACAAACGAACTAGAGTTTATTTTACTGACAAAGAGTGTTTGTAATATTGAGAAAATCGATGTTACTTAACGGATTCGAAATCGGGTATATATAGTAAATATTTAGCGTATGAAAATGACTTAGATTCACTAAGTGTTAGTGATGATCATATAGTCAATCGGACAACACCTAAACACAGCACTAGTTAAGCCAGACAGAGCGACTGGTAGTTTGAAGTAGATACCGTAAGGAATGCGTTTCAAGTGATCTTAAAACTTTATGCTAGGAGTCAGCTTAGGATTGACAATATGGATTAGATGTATTTATCTGATAATGTTGTGCGAATATTGATTGTATGATTAGTTCTTACTATGAATTCATCCCTTTCGACTATTTCTGTCTAGCTTTCTAGTTTACTATTTCGCTTAGTTTTTTCCGGATTGAATCTAAGTGTGATTATTTGAGCTGAAACAAAGTTAGATAAGATAGTTATTTTGTCTATTTGACAGTTTATAAATCTCACCTTTGTACAAACCCACTCATAAATCTTGATTGGTCGGTGAGTAGAAATTAACGTTACATTTTCAAATGATCGATTTGATTAATTAGAATGAATGTTGAAAAATTAAGTAAGAAATTGAGAATGTATCTATAAATTGAGTTAACGTCAAGTACCTTTTCGTGATGAAAACTGATATAGTGAATAGATAAAGTTTATCAATACTGCTCATTGAAACTGAGTCACTAAATATCCATTTCTGTACTCAACATTAGGCCGCACGTTTTCCATATGAAGAGTAATATAGTTCAGATTGACGAGAAGTGAAGTAGACCACAAACTTGTAACTTATACAATTATTTCCATTGACAAATATGAACAAAACTAAGAACAGTAACCATAGCAAATAGCAAATGAATTCACCTATTTCATGGACTCACTTCAGCTGCTTATAATTTTTCATTATAAAAGTCTTCATTCAAGATGGGTTCGGCACATAAATGTCGAATAATAACAAAAGGATAACAACTAACCATCCATTTTACAGAATGTAACATTATCATAAATATTATTTGTACGAATAATTATGTTAATATAAAACTATTTAATGTTAACTTGTGTAACAGTTAGACTTCGTAGTATTTTAGTGAACGAGAACTTAAGTGGGGAAGACCAATCTACTGTTTAACGTAAACTATTAAAACCGTACATTAAATACATAATTAGCACATCTTTCTTCAGTTTTCTTTTACATACTTCATGATTCTTTTAATTCTCTTGTTATTGGAATTGATTCCGCGTCACTTCCCGTTTTCTTCAGTTCAATCTTCCTAAACTTCTGCTGGTAAGCATTTCACTTCCTATTAGTGCCACACACTACTTATATCTGTTAACATAAGCAGCATACACCGCAGTATAAAGAACTAATATAGATAATCAGGAGAATGTTTTGTAGGAGATAAACATGATCAACGAATAAAATTAACCAACCAAACAATGAAAATTTAATTTTATATTAAAATGCATCTTTCATTAACGAAATGTGAATTTTAATAAA